GATAGAACGTAAATTGATAAGACGAATACTATACATAAAAGGGTGTCAAAACATGTCCCTCAATTCAGTAAAGGTCCCATTTCAAATAGATGAAAATTATTCTCTTTCTTAGGAAGAGGAGAACTAAAATTATGGGATCACCAAACCAAAAAATAGTTACATAGAGTGTTTAGACGCAATTTCTATACCTACGACAAAACGTTAATTGATAAGACAAATATTATACAGGAAAGGCTGTCAAAACATGTTCCTAAATTCAGTAAAGGTCCCATTTCAAATAGATGAAAATTATTCTCTTCCTTAGGAAGAGGAGAACTAAAATTATGGGATCACCAAACAAATAAATTCCTATTCAGCAGGAAACAGGAAATAATACATGGCTCCATTACGCCCCAACTTCAAACTGAGGGTCCTCGTTCCGGAGGTTTGTCAAGACTGCCGTCCCTGCCTCCACTTTTGCTTTACACGCTGTTTCGTGACATCTGTGGAATATTTTAGAACCTAAACGTACATACTCGAAGTATACGTTATACAAGTTGAAGTTCTGCTTCTATACAGCCGCAGACACATTTACCATTGCAGTGGTTTACCCAGGTGTTTCTCCAGACATCTGATTATACTTTACCAATCAATAGTATTTACGTTCGTACCACCACGACCTACTGCTTGAACAAATTCAAGATCGATGTCATTTTTGGAACAAAATTCGATGATGGACTTGCTGATTCCAAGCGATGTACCAGAGATGGGATCTACGTGCCCTAGATATTCGCTTCCAGGTTCTTAAATACCAACACTACACGCACCGTCAATCAACGAGCACTTCACAGTTAGACATGCAGGTAGCATCGTCGAATACCCTAATACTAAAAGCAAGTACATTATTGTTGATTGACAGGGAAGCATTTTTCACAACATTTACTGGAGATTTTGATTTTTCATCCTAAATGACTCAATTAAGAAGAAAGATGAAATTACACAGATCCATAGACCGCGCTGCTCCTGACGCCGATGATGAAATTTTCTTTGAACTCTTGATACTCACTGGAACTAATGAACTTTACTTAATGCCACTTTAAAGTATACATAAATACTTTGAAATAAACATACTTACGATCTTTTAAAATTTCTAGAATTAGGCAAAAGCTGTTATTATGACTCCGTATTAATCCACTTAACACTGCTGATATTACACCCTCCAATGTATCAGCAGTTAATATGGAATAATCGGTTCGGTTGTAAAATAACCTTTGCTCTCCCGGTAGAATCAATGTTGTAAGTTTATTCTTCCTGAACGCAGTTCTCTCAACAGCCGAAGTAAGTTTCTTCAGTGGCATTTTAGAATCCCAGTTAATAAAGACCTGTCATATTAAATACAGGGTGTTGGGAAAGTCCCCCTTCTCCCCCTTATCTAACTCTTTACTGATTGAGGTAGAGATTTGAAACTCGGAGGAGAGGGACTCTAGGTCGGAGGGAGTTACTTTTTGACTCCCCTAAAATTTTCAGGGGGCCCCCTTGGGGGGGAGGGGTGAACTCTAACTTTTTATTTTCAAATGGGAAGACCCCTCTTGTGATACCTCGTTTGAAAAATCATAAAATAAGAAAACTTTATGTGTAAACCTGAAGTCAACATCCAACCGTCTCTACATGGCGGTCGGTGAAAGTTCAAATTGGTTTTTTTTTACAAATCTAGCGTCAAATTCGTTTTTCTCGTGTTAAAATACTTCTCGTCATCGAGTTTCAGGCAAATCCATCAATAAAAACCCAGGTTCCAATTTCCGGTCACTTTGAATTTTGTTGTACAATGGACGCACTAGAAAAAATTTGTCCGAATTTGTTGCAGGCATTTCAGATTTATCTACAAAATGAATATTTACTCTTAGCGCGAAGAACCTATCGCGAGACATATGTTTTGCAAAAATGGGTAATATTGTAATTTTAGCCCAGTACATGGACCGCTGAGGAAATCTCAGCACACCCATTGCAAGTTGAAAAGCAACGAAAATCTTTATTTCATGTTTAGTGCAAGGCACAAACCTTTTGTTATTTTGAACTGCGTAGAGGTTGGTTTTATCAGCAATGTCAGCAAAGAACGCATCATCAAAATACTAGGTGTAGTAATCAAATAGAGTTAACAGCATTAAGTCATCATCAACAGGAGGAGGTATGGGCTCACGAAATTTGTGAGAAGTACAGAAAGGCTGATATGTCCATTCAATGTCACTTTTGGCTGTTAGCTTTGGCGCGACATCGACAAGAAACTTTTCAATAACCTGGTTCGGGGGAATTTGAGATTGCACATTGAGTTGCGCTGCAGGCACAAGAGGAGGCACTGATGGTACACCAGGAATGATATTATTGTTATCAGGTATAACGTCTGCATTAGACACAGTATTATCATCGATATCCGGACCACAGAGAAAACCATCTTCCCCGTCCAATCATTCAAAAAGTGAAGGTCCAACAAAGGTAGCTCTTACTTCTGGATCTTTTTCAATGAAGTTTAGACCATAGTCAAAGTCATCATCCTCAGAATTAGAGTTGTCAGCAACATTATCACAGTTCACAACTCTTTGTACTGGAGCACTTTCATTGTCATCAATCATCAGATCATCACAATCGCTTCCCTCACTAACATAGTCCACCTCCGAAACTTGCCCACTTTCGAGGGCATCAAGAATATCTGTAGCTGTTAATAACCGACCCCTATTCATAATGAAATACCGTATCAAGTCAAAAACTCACCGAGCGATCCGATCTTGTTGTTGTTGTTGGTTTACCTTTCTTTATAACTTAATATTGCGGGATGAAACACCTGTACTTTTCCCCCAGACCAGAAGGGAAATTAGCTATAAAACTGTTTGCGTCTAGAAATGTGACAAAAACCACTTGAACAATATTTCTACCTAATCTTGCAATGTAGTCCACACCATGTACACTGTTCTTTTTAAGGATTCTGCTAATGTTTGCTGGATGGATGTGGGGGATATTACCACTATCATTTGACAATTTTTTTGCCAATTGAACAATAAAAGGTCCTTCAGTATTCGAATTATAGTACAGAGTTTTTGATTTCTGTGCCCCCTGCACCCCCTGCACCATGGTACTCATGGCTACGAAGGGAAAAGTTTAGGTTATTAATCACATAATTTAAAGAGAGAAGTCTACAGAAATCTTTAAATTTCAAATGGGCCAAGGTTTAATCCTAGTTCAATTCTTTAATAAGCCGAAGACACTTTAACACGAACAATACCAAGAAATTCTCAATTTTCGAAATTTCCCGCTTTGGTTTGAAAGAACCGCTAACCGACCGCGAACCTCTTTTTTGTCTTTTCCAATTCCGATCTTCCGGAGAAGCTTATCGGTGGGTAACCATAATGTGGTACTAACCTGCCATGATATCACGATATTTCTTAAAGACACTGATCACTCTATTCAAGCGTTAAATTTTGACTGCCAAAGATTTAGCTACAAAACTAACATTCGAATTCACCTGAATTTGACAAATCACCGATTAAATCAAGCCGCTAGGAAATTAGTCGTATATCTACTGTAAGAATGAAAGACAACTCACCAACATTTCCTTCGAAATTCTCACATTGCTCGACCGTCAGGTGAAGCACCAAGTGATTTCCGTCTGATAAATAGACGAGAAGATTGCTTTGTAATTCCGTCATCGTGCACTATAATTAAATAATTAACAAATGATAAATTGACCGCGAGATGCACGTGGGTATTTAATCGGCAGTGGCTGGTACGGAGTTGGTTCGCACTTCGCGGTGACGAGGAGAGAGAATGATCAAAGTTTCGGAGAGGTTAGGATTACGTCCGCGGTCTACGGTCTGCGAACTCCAGACCTCGTAGACAGCCGCGGACCGCCATCGTCTACAGGCATAGAATAATAACTAGCTGAAGCTATTTGTTATTCTATGCTACAGGTGTCCGCATCCAGGCGAATTCTTGTGTCCGCTTTGCATCCTCGAAATTAAGCCCCGCCCACTCCAAGTCATCCGCAAAATAATAAAAGACGATTGCAGACGCCTGCAAAGTGACCGCAAAGTGTCCGCTGCAGACGAAATAAACGACGGCTACTGATAAACATCGTAGATCCCACACGTAGCAGCTTGGAGGTTAGGATGTAAACAATCGGTTCCCGTGGTTGAATTCAGACTTTTTATGAAGCATGAACTTCCGCATTTACTTGTTTCATCAAGTTGACTGAGAGTACTACCATTCTAAACAAAAATTAGAGCTTCGGACGCAATTTTTCCTATTTTAATCAATCGACGAAAATGACTCTGACATGAACTAATTTCGTAAATAATTTTGTTTTTACTGAAATTGGAGGTTGGCAGCATGTGATGTTGGTGTTGAGAGACCTGCGTGACGTATTACCGGCTCTCCTGTATCGCCAAACTTCATAAAATCACGGACGGGAAAACCGAAATCGGAATTTGAGATACCCGGCATAACGCTGATGTACATTACAATGTGCACAGATTAAAATCAATATTTTGAAAGAAATATAAGGTCTTTCAGCGTGATTTTTTTACTGTAACACTATCAAACCCTCTAGAATATAATACGATTTTTCCAGCTCAATGCCTTTGTTCAATAAATCTAGAAAAATTATTAACCCTTTGAGACCCTTTGTACACCTCAATGTACAAACATGTCATGATTTTCTTTTTGGCGGGCATAAATAGAAATAATAGGCTCAAACTTGGCATACATGTCAAGGAGGCTCATTTATATCACTAACATAAATATGTGGCGCTATCTGATGACTTCAGTCCAATTTACAGGCGAACAAATGGTGCAATTTTCAAAATATTCGACTGACTTGTAATTGCCGGAGTTAACTCCTTTTGACCAAGGAACGTCCTGCAAGTTAACCTCAGTTTGGAAAAAGCCAGAGGGGGGGGGGAGCTACCCCCCCCCTCCCCACCTCGCGTTCCTTACTGATGACGCGTTCCTTACTTTCAAGTAGAGATGGTGGGCAGCGAGGGTGTGTAAACGCGTTGGCGTGTATCATAGTTGCCGGTAGTAAGAAGCTGTCTGGTACTGCAGTGAGGGTGAGTATGGGACGAACGTTTATTGCGAATTTGGTTTATCTGTTTCAGATTTGAGTCTTATTATTTATCGCAGTTCTTAACGTAGAAACTTGATGGCCTACTGGTATCATCGTCGCCCTGATCATTGCCCTCTCTCCTTCAACAACCCCTGAAGTCCGACAACAGCAGCGAATTAACGCCTGCCTACACCTCTTCCGTTGAATCTACACGCCTGCTGAGAGTTCTTTAGGAATCTTCACAGCTTCGAGCGAGGATGGGTTTCTCCGAGTGCTCCTGGCTCAACGCGCCCGCTGCTTGGCAACTGGAAGGCGGGACGCTGACCGTGACGACAGATCGCGGCACGGACTTCTGGCGCGAGACTCACTACGGTTTCACGCGCGACACGGGTCACTTCTTCGGGCGCCGGACCTCGGGGGACTTCACGGCGGAGCTGCGGGTCCGCGCGCGGTTCCGAGAGCTCTACGACCAGGCCGGACTCATGGTGCGTCTGTCGGACGAAGAGTGGCTCAAGGCGGGCCTCGAGATCTCGGACGGAGCCCCGATGGCCAGCAGCGTGCTGACCGTCGGCCGGTCGGACTGGGCCACGGCGCCGTACGCCCACGACGCGACCGACTTCCGTATCCGCGTCACGGTCAAGGCTGGCGTCCTCAGGCTCCAAGTGTCCGACGACGGGCTGAGGTGGCCGCTCATGCGACTCTGTCCTTTCCCGGTCGCCGAAAGCTACACCGTCGGCCCGATGTGCTGCACGCCGGAAAGAGAGGGACTCACCGTGGTCTTCTCCGAGTTCAGAGTCAGCGAGCCTTCAGATAAGGCTCTCCACGATCTGTCGTAAAGACTTCTAGGATTTGTCTGCCTTTCATGTTAATGGACGCCTGAATATGTAATTTTACTGTACCACAATCGTCGTCAGGGTGTTTGTTTACGTCCCCCCTTTTCCAATTTTTATGTTGTCTTTGGAAACAGGCGAGATATGAGTGTTTGTGAAAGTGACTTCAACCTATTATCGACGTATGAAACCACTTTTAGGGTTTTGTGGTTCACTTTTGAATCGGAAGAGATAACCTCTTAGAAATGGAGCATCCACTTTACATGTGCATCTGGAGAGCTGTTATCCAGTAGGGTTCTCACGGTGTTACCGAATCCTCCTTTGTTTCCTGCATCTTGGTTTTCTGACGCGATAATATTCCCTTATAGACTAAGGCAGATGATCACACTAACAGTTAATTGATTAATTCACAAAACGGGGAAGACGATCTGTCAAGAATTTGACAGCCCCACGTTGGGCGCCAACTGATACGGTGCTGCTTGTGCAGCTCAGGGAAGAACAAGCGAAAAACAAGAAAACACTGATATCTATAGAAAAAGTTTACTCGCCGACCGGCCCGAACACAAAAAATAAGAAAAGCTCATAAACAAGAAATCACCCAGAAGGGTGATTTCCCCCTAAAGAGAAACTCACATTTTTGGGGAGGAAGGAAGCGCACGTCCTGCGAGGATGAAAAAAGACCGAAGTGAAGCTAGCTTGGCGTCTCAGCATAACCGTTCCTCTCACAGGTCCCTGCCCATTAGTGGATCAAGTCAAGTGACTGGATCCCCCAATAGGACCACAGACACCAGACAGAGACAGGGAGGGAAATGCAAATAGCCGATATACATATTTATATGTCACAAGACGATTCCATGGCTCTCCTTCCAAAGAAAAGCCCTGTCAGTGAGCCGTGACAGGTGAAAATAAATCCTCAAACCCGTGACGCAATTACCCTCGTATCCCACTACCATCTCATCATTCCCGTTCACCCTCTTCTGTCTCTCGTACTGTCTCCTTTTCCGCGAAAACAAGCAACTTTTAGGGTTGTTCGTAGAGAGTGGTTTGTATAAGCTAACTGGGGACTAAATGAGATTCCTTTTTTCGATTACAAATCGCTCCCCGGACGGCGGTGATGTCCACCGGGGGGTAAGCCGAAGCAACCTGGAAGAAGTAAATGTTAAAACGAGTGTCTGTTTCGAGGGCTAGCTGAAGACGGATGCTTCAAAGTGGACATTCGTAAAACGAAAACTAAGTGGATATTATCATCATGGTATCATGAACACGAAGTGTCCTCGGAGAGGAAGGCAGACGCATCAAAAAATGGTCCTATAAAGAGGAAGCAATTGTTCGAATTATCGAGTTTTCGAAGCAGTGAAAGTTGAAATTGGATAGGGCTCAGATGAAAAAATTTCAAATTAAAGAGGTTCAAGTTATAGACGGATGAAAGTAGTTTTTTTTTACGAAAAATTATGTCACTGAAAAACTTGTTCATCAAACTAAGGGTGCCTAAAGAAAAGTGAATCGAATAAAACGTTCTGTATCTATGAATAGACTTTTTTATTGTATTTATTTATTAAAAGCTCCTCAAAAAACCACTTAGATAACAGGTTTGTAATACCCATCTCACCCAAAAAATGAAAAAAAAAAATACAATTTATACTTAATTTCCTTGACACTCGTTTTCCAGGATTGCGCGAAAGGTCAAATATATGAGGATTGCGCGAATAGAAACCTTAACATCTGCTACAAAAATACGCGACTTTATACCAGCGCCTCCAAGACCGTATAAATACTTCTCCCGTTGCGCCAAACGCAGTGCATTCGGTCAGTTGGTGTAAAAAACATATTAGCGCTCACAAGACTGTATGAATGCCGTAGGACTGTGTGTCATCATTTTTCTTTTTCTTCTGGAGTTTTTGCCAAAATTAAAGGGATGTATCCTCATCGTAACGATTCTGAAACTCAATTTTAAATAAAACAATTTTTAATTTTTTCTTTCTGTTACATTAGAAGAAATTAGAAAGAACATCGCGTCGAAATTGTCGATACTTCTACTTGGGATCATTTAAGTAAATTCGCTGACGCTTTTCAGAAAAACTGTATGTAGCTCTTTTAAAATATTTATAAAAAAGTAAACATGCAAGTGATGCATAAAGTTGCAATCAGACATAAATTAATATACGCGGGAAATTAAATAGCGGGAAATAACACCATGTCTCTCTAAAAATTTCAAAAGTCGACTACGATTCGTAACTATACTATAAAATTCTTCCGTCATTAGCGAGCAAGCTTTTGCTAAGCTTTAAATCGTTCATGCATCCTGAGACAAAAGCTTCAACTTCATCCTTCGGAGCATCTACAAACTTGTGCGTTTTTATATCCTCAGCCGTCAGCAATTCCTTGGATGTGACAGAGGAAGCAAGAGCTGATTTCTTCCAATAACACTCCGTGGATGTAACTGATGGAGTGGCCGACACTCGATGGAGCCATGACACAAATGCGACCGCATGCTTGCAACCTCCTCCTACTAACCTAGAGTGGAAAAAAGAAACGATTAAAAGCTAGAAATATGATCAATTTAACGGAAACTTTCAAATCCTTTTTTTTAATCAATTTAAAACCGGGAACCTGCGTAAGTGTAAGCTAGATGAATATCTTGAAAATGAACTTTTTCCAACAAATGTCCAAGTTTTCAATGGCAACGTAAGTACATTGCTTGAATTTGTGAAAGAGACACACTTAATTATGAGGACTGGTGAATGGTGATGGCGATTATTATATCTTCAATTTTTATTTCTTTTTTCTCTGAAAATGAATAAAAGTAGCGTTCCATTACTTGGCAGAATTTTCAATTTTTTACTTATCTCCGAAGATTTCGGACGTAATGAAATCGGTTTAACTTATCGATTCCAAAAAAAATTTAGGTTGATATCAATTTTTTCCCTGAAAAATCACCAAAACAAGACTGTCAATATTGATAATCTTAAAAATTGATATTTTGGGGTGCATGAAGAATCAGATCGATTTTTCAGGAGAAATTGATCAGATTTTTGAGAATAATTGCCATCATTTTTTAAGACAAAGGTACCGTGAAACTTGGTGTAATGTCACTTTCTCAACCTGGAGAGGATATGTGAAAAGCGAGAAAAAAAGGATAGGACAGCCAGCATGTAGTAGATGTATGACCCACGAAAAAATACACCCCTGTTTCATTGCTCGAAACTCGCTCTTTTTAAAGCCAGGAGTAAAATATTGAAGGCTCTATGATTAAAATTGTAACACTTCATGGGCCCAAAAGTCAGTCACACATACACATATCGAAACCTTTGGAAACTGCCTTGTATACAAGGTATAAAATATCAAAAATTACTATTTTTTATTCTCGTTGACAAATGGAACCTACTTTGATATAATTTAAACATTTGTAAAGAAATGAATGATAAGGGGCTCTTAGCAGTACTAGCAGAACAGTCTGAGCAATAAGCACCCACAATCTACTCCTTTGTCTCGTCAACAATACAATTGACCTCGTAGGGTTTATCTATGATTTTATGTTCTGGCGTTATATCAGCCTTCACATGAACTTCCGAACCTGTCTTCTTCACTCTAACCCCATTCAATGGCTTGGTCCGAGTACGTACTTCTTGCAGATCTGTAAAGAAGGAAGCGATAAGAATTTTAGTAATGTGACCTGAGGATGGTTAAGGAAAGTCACTTAAACCACAAAACCAAATAGAAGTGGAGCTGGACATCAGCAAGCTGTCTTAAGGAAAAAAAGTGGTGGCATAATTGGTCGTATTTCTATCAAACAAGACTATGTGCAGGTGAGAAATATGGGGTGTGCTCTAGGAAGCAGCATAAGAATCAATGTGAAAGTGGGTGTGATTCCTTTTGAAGAATTGGAAAAGCGGTATTTTAAATTCAGCAAACATCTGTGTGCCAACTGAATGCAGGATATTTGAGCCGGGGAGGGCTCATGAGATACAGGTGAGGAGCTACGAGGAGCCGCATCTATATCTGTTGACGTTACTGGCTAACAAATGAGGACCAGGCATAATTTTGGTTGCTAAATATGAAAATGCTTAACTAGGATTACGATGTTGTAAATCTGTGTAGAGTATATAGTTTTTTGAAGAAATTAATCAAGCAGTTTCACTGAAGTCTTTAATGAATTTTCTTATTCCCTTGAATGATAATCACAGAAAATTGCAATAGGATGTTTCAGTTAGTTCTCATCAAGAAGGAAGGAGGAAAAAAAAAAGAACTTTAATTAATGAGTTTCAAGTGCTGAAATGGGGTTTCACATTAGTTTTCTTTTGCCATTGAATGAGACTTAGATTATTGAATTAGAAACTGACAGAAGAATCTCGAGTTCCTTAACTCGAATGAACGACATCTAACATTTGAACATCAGATCCCCTACATTTTCCCAGTTTTTCTGAATGTCAACCCTGTCTCAGAGAAAACAGATTAGCATAAAGACTCAAAAACTGACGTAAGATTTACTCAACTTAAGAGAAGACACAAAACTAGGAATTTTGCGAACTAAGAGGAAATTCGAACCACATTTTTTGAGTGGTCAAGAGAACTCACCATAATCACCGATTCTCTGAATTGGAATGGGTGGCTTCCAAAGCTTATCCTGGGGGGCCTAGGGGGGCGGTTTTCCGCTTGCAGCGAGACTTTTAAGTTTTTAAGAGAGACATTTCTCGGGAAGAGACACTCTCTTTCTGAGATTATCCATGTCGAAGGAATTGCATCATATTCTTTATATTTCTGGTTATATATAAGGGTCCAGGTTGGCTTCTCGTCTTTTCTTTTCGGCTGGAAAATGACAAATGCAAGTATTAAAATAAAGCACATGATCAAATATTCGATGAAGGTAAATAGTTCGAAGTGTTTTCATCGATCACTCACAAATTACTTTCTCTTTACTTACTTAATATTCACCCACATCATAAACTTGCAAATTATGAAAGGGGAAAAAAAGGGTGAAAATTATCTAGTCCTTTTTCCATAAATTCAGAGAGGGTATTCGAAAATATTAAACATTGCTTGCGCGGGTTTACAATTAATTTGATTTGATTTTCCTTTTCATCCACTTAGGCTCCTTAAGGAGTAATAAATAAAGCAACTAAGTTTTATAGTTTCCTAGATGTAAATTTGAACCAAATATCAGAGTTTCAGAATTAATGTATCTGCAAACTTGAACAGGATTTTAAGTTTTGAGCTGAAAAACACAGCAGCTTAAAAACTGAAAAGCTTGTCTTAGAAATCTTAAGACCCTACTTGACAAACACATGAATCATCTACAAATGAACATCTATTAAAATGGCATATTGTGAAGTTTATCTTTGCAGTGAGCTGGTTTCCAGCACGTGAATTAGGATGGAAACAAAATGAACTCAAACCTCTTTGAAGAGCGTTGACTCGCGTTTTAAAGTTGCTGCCAGGATGAAGGATGCTGACTTTCGGAAGGAAAGGACAGGAGCGGAAATGGTGGCTTAAGATTTGGAGGTAACGTGTAGCAAAGGAAGAACAACAGACTTTTGGGAGTAGAGGACAGGAGAGAAAACTGAGGCTTAAGATTTGGAGGTAGTGTGAAGCAAGGGGAGAACGACAAAATCATCTCTGAAAGGGAGTCGAACATACTTGTGAGTTACAGCAGAGACAGGTTTTGTTTCAATGGTGCTACTTAATTTCGAGACCGTAAAAATTCCAAACTGAGAACTATTTTTGAATGGAGTGGAAAAAAAGTCAGTTTTGCTCATAAATCTTTTGCAAACAACAAGTCGTTGTTCAGGGTTGGGGCTCATTACAAAATTAAGGGCCAAGTAGATGCCACCAGTTTTTGTTCCGAAACAACTATCAGCAAGATCCAAAGAAAGCTGGAAAGTCGGAAAAAAAGCTTTCTTGAATTGCGTCCCTTCGCAAAGAGGGGGCATAGGCCCTTCTTTATGTTTTACAGAAAATACAACACCTTCTTGAACGGGCCGAGAAGAATAAAATTCTGTCACATAACCTGACATATATATTTCTGCAAAGCGACGGCCTAACTGTGGCAGAGCAAGGTGAGGGCTCCTCGTAAGTCCTTTCGGCACTAGGATTCCATAAAAAAATTAGCTATATCAATCAAAGTAAAGTCCGGCACAGAATCTTTAAAAAACCAAACATCTTCCACAAGGTGTATGAGGTGGTGTATGTTGTGGGAGACAGTCCACTCTCCATACAAAACGCTCATATTTACAACAAATGACCTTAGCAACTCATCAGCATAATTAATCAATTCATCAATTTTGATCAATAGGGGATTGAACAAAATTATGAGAGCAATGGAGAAAGACAAAAAATGTAAATAATAATCTGCCTCGTCTAACGAGCCTTTCAAAATTACTGGTCCTAAATAAAGTGCAAAAGCTCGAAATTCAGTTGCTTTCCAATCAGCTAGGGATTCCAATCCTCGGGGTCTTCTCTGGAACTCTCTGGGGAGGAATGTTACGGCATACTTGAGTTTTTCATTAATTTGTTTTCTGTAAAATATATCTATTATATTTGGGATACCACTTTTAAACCATAACTTGAGCATACTTTTGGTACACCCTTGAAATAAAAGGTGCATAGGGTCGTTGATAAAGGAGCGCGTGAAGTTAAGTCCTGGTAGTTGAAGGAGGGGCGACAACTGAAGATGTTTCGGCTGAAACTTGGAATATTTTCTACGCCTGAATTTTTCATCGGTGCGAAGGGGTGCATCTACTTTGGGAAAACAACGCCTCTTGTTAGAAGTTAGACCTCTTGTTGTGCATCTGAAACAAGAATAGAATCCGGTATGACCAACTGTCTGCAGCAGGTAAGACCTAGCAGGTGTGTCACAACCGAATCCGAATGTCTCGATATGAACACGCTGACCTTTCATGTATATCTTGCACTCCTCTTTCTGATCATCTGTACTGAACAATTGTATAACTTCATCAATAAAAGGTTGTAAGAATTCCGACACATCTTTCGGCTTGCCCTTACCATAATAAATTGAGACAGGGAACACTTTATGCTTCAAACGAGGGATATTTGGAGCCGACATTGAAAGAACCCACATTTGATAGGAGGTCGAATTGAAGACTTGCAAACCATCAGCATAAAATAGCAATCGAAGAAGATTCACAATGTCTTCTAAAAGGGAAAGCATGATGTCTACATGATATTTCACACCAAGATAGATTAAGTGTCCTGGTGGAACGTCTGTGATAGGCATTTTCTCTCTTGGGGTTTTAAGAATGGTTCGTGCATCGACATGCATGTCAGAGAAACAGGGATGCGAATCTTTCAAACCCTTGAGCAGTTCATTTAATGCAACCAAAGTAATTTTCTTTTTCACTGCCCAGTAAGCGAGCATCGCCTCAACTTTTTGGGTTTCAGTCTTTTCTGCCTCAGGTGATACTGGTGGCGGAGTCATGGCTCCGTCTAACCCAGGCATCGCTACATCATCGGCTAAATAAGCAGCCTCAGCAGCCAGCAAATTATCAGGTGACTCATCAAGATGACGCCCTTCTTCCTCCTCCTCCTCAGCAGAATAAAGTACCTGCTGGACCGGTTCATCAAAAGTTACAGGGTCAAAATCAGGGTCACAACCTACTGAAAAATTGAGAATACTTTGCCCGACCAAGGAGGTTCCATCACTGACATTCGAGCGAACAAACAAAGAATTGTTTGAATCGACAGACGTATCTACAAGACTAGCTGCATACACAGTCTCATCTTTAGACATATCATTGGTTACAACTACTGCGCTGATATCTTGGGGAAAAGTTATACTTGATTCATTATGAGAATGAGAGGAAGGGTGAAATTCTTGATCAGGAGTACTAGTGAATGGTGGAGGTGAAGTGAAATAATCATGAGAAGAAGAGAGAAAATCTAAGTCAGTATCATTGGTGGATAATTGAGATGAAGAGAGATCATAATGAGGAGGGGAAGAGGGTAACTCTTGTACAGGATTAGTGGTAGATGATGATGGTACAGAGGGATCATCCGTTTGCCGATTTAATTCGTGAGCAACATTTATCCACAGTTCATGCTTCCGACGAAGCCTCTTGGATTGAGCTCCTTTGCTTAAAGTGTGGAAAGGTTTCCTTTTACGTAAGTCCGAGTCGTCCTCTATTGAGGAATCTGATTCCAAATCCTAGAAAAGGAAAGCGCCCATGAAATCGAAACGAAAATTCCATCATGCTCTTGCAGTCATATTTACAAAGATACAAAGCATTGAACTACCTGAAATAAGATATTTTCTACAGTGCAACTGCTAGAGGATTGGATTAGACAAGAAAAATTGCTGAAGTGTTCTTCAGTTGCCTTCTTGACATTGCAGTTGATACAACAGGAAGAGTATTGCAATGCCAGCAGGTGCCCGAGGTAAAAAATTCCAACCATTGATCAATCACACAGTGCATTAGAGAGAACAAGCGAGAAGATGATAAGGAAGTGAAAACCAAGAAAAGGAACATTAGTTTTGACAATCTAAATTCAGAGTTTTCATGAGAAAAATCTACCAAAGAAAAATGAAGCAGAGCCCAACTGGAAGAATCTACAAGCACTAGCAGGTAAAATAATCTGCACCTTGAAGTGAAATTGTAATGTTAAACGAGGAAGCTCAGTATTTTTCAACAATGCTTATCCAAAGTTAGTTACTTAAGAGAGCATTGCCGCCAGCAGCACAGAGAAGCGGAAAATGGGAAAAATTGGAATTATCGTCCAAGTCGCCTTGCAATACTCCACTTCGAAGCAGCAACAGTACGAGATTAGGCGGATGGAGTATGAATGATTTTGGTGAGAAAAATTAAGCAAGATAGAAGCTACCAAAGCTGAATAATGGTAGGATAGGCCTCTGCAATGGATGATGGCATCAAGTTCCTACTTATCACTTGCGATGCCTACTAAACGTAGGCACACTAATGGAGTTGTGTCGGCTCAACTGGACCCAACATGCAATCATCTATGTAGAAGATAGTAGAAAATGTTTCGCAGGTTTCCCTCCATTTTCATTATTGAGCCAGGAACAGTTTTTCAAAGGAAATAGGAGATGGTGTGCAAACCAGCTTGCGCATCGTCTCACCGCATGGATGGTAACAGTGACTACCATGAGGTGAAGAATGAAAAGTGTTTCCCATTATGTCTCATAATCATGACATGCACAGCAATTGACAAATCTGAAATCAAAGTTGTTCGGCGACTAAGTTTGAGATCGGCATGAACAAAGGCGTGCCGGAACAGGAGAAATGGCTAAAAGCTCTGTCTAGATTACTAGAACAGAAGTACAAGAAAACTCACCGACATTTTCCATTAAATATGGAATCTTAGTATCTGGATCTGGAATATCTTGAGTATGCACACGGGAACACAATGGGCCTGTTGCATGCAAGAGATACAGCCGTGCGAATAGACTTTTTAGTGGTTAAATGACACGAAAATTACGATGCTCACATTAAAAAAGTCTGAAATACACTCCTTACTGCGCAATTTTCGTTGTCAGGAACGCGCTTTTTCAAATTTCCCGCGTCTGGGGGCAGTTTTCTAACGGAAACATTAACGGCAACTCGCGGCTATTTCCGGTCAACTAAAACTGGCAACATAACCTAAAAATCGGAGCTCGTGATTTCGTGAAATGAAATGTAGAAGGATTGCGTTGGATATTTAACAGTTGATCGATTTGGTTACTGCATAAAGCGTATATGGACCACTATAAGAGATCACGTTGGGTTTGTAAAAAAACTGAAGGAAAAAATAACAACAACAACAACGACTCGACATCTTCCGGAAATCACCGAGCCCGCCGTTTGCTCGTTTCCGGTGATTAGAAAACTGCCCCCAGACGCGGGAAATTTGAAAAAGCGCGTTCCTAACAACGCAAATTGCGCAGTAAGGAGTGTATTTCAGACTTTTTTAATGTGATCATCGTAATTTTCGTGTCATTTAACCTCCAAAAAGTCTATTCGCGCGGCTGTATCTCTTGCATGCAACAGACCCATTACGAATTAGAATTACAGTAACTGCAAACTGACGCGCAATGCCGGTCGTCAAAATGGCGTGATGGCGTCTCCTCTCAAGGCATGGGCATGAGGTGGTCGAGAGTAGAGAGGGGCAGCGTGCGGAGGAATGAACAGTACACCTGCGTCATCGACTCGGCATCTCAACGGCAACTGTTGTAACGTATGCGGTTTCAAACTTGGACCATGTACAAGCGGGATCGTTATTCCTGCGAAAAATAGTTTTCCGTAACCCGCCGTACACGACTCAGTTGACCACAGGAGATTACCCGGGCCCGAAGTCATGTTAGTGAAGAAAGCCTTTCCCCTCATTGATATCGCACCTTCTCCGACCGTATCTCTCACATCTTCGTTTCCCCTCATTGCAGCATGCATCAAATCAAATTGCGATTATCCGGAATATACGATCACGTGCCTTATCTGATCGAATCCGTCGCCCACTTTTACTGATACGGAAGACAAGACTTGTCTCACTGGGTCAACAGTCGGTTAGTTT